CTAAAGTCGATGCGAATGCTTCGCTTCATAATGCCGGGATGCCGGGTTCGATCCCAGTTGCGGGCAATGCGCCTTGCCTTGGTTTCGACACTGGTATCAAGAAAGCCGACCATCCAGAAAGCAATGGCAAACTACTGGACGTAAATTTGCCAAGAGAAACCACACAACAGCCAGGGGCTGTTAGGATTGGTTCTGCAACGTCCTGTAAAGGATACGCGACTAACTATCCATGTCCTTCACTGATAGCACACAAAGTTTCTATCAATAGCACATTTATCAACGGCTTTTTGTGTGTTAATGTTGATACTTTGTTTACTCAAAAGTGGTGTTTTTTCCTAATTTATGTTGAGGATCTTCAATAATCTATCAGATTATTTCTTTCGATCCCCTTTTGCAGGTGAATGCTCCAGATGATGGCGGTATTCTGGCTGGGAACTGGTCTGGTGACTACACTGGAGGAACATCCCCTCTTTCATGGACTGGGTCAGTTCCTATTCTGGAGGAGTTCTGGGCCAGCAAGACTCCTGTACGCTTTGGCCAGTGCTGGGTCTTCTGTGGGGTCTGCACTACGAGTATGTGGTACACGTCTCTGTTGTGTTCATATAAGACTGCCTGTATGAGGATGGGTTGGTGTCTGTTAGGTGACATCTGCACTAACTTCAGAGCTGAGGCAACTGCCCTCCTTTCTGCAGTCCAACATCTCATCACTCAAGAACACAGAGGGCACCAAATTGTTATACTTAGTGACTCATTGTCTGTTCTCCAAGCACTATCAAGCAAAAAACAAGACAAACTAATTGCAGATCTAAGGACCAACATTGGCTTACTCTCCAAGGAAGCAGAACTGATTTTGCAGTGGATACCAGCCCACTGTGGTATTCAAGGAAATGAGAGAGCAGATGAGTTGGCAAAAGCTGGGAGTAATCTTCCACAACCTCATCCACCACACAGCTACAAGGAAACCAAAACAGCGCTAAAGCAGTCTTTCAAGCGGGAGTGGCGAAGGCATAATTGAGATTACAGACCAGAGAGTGACAGCATAAACAAACTCAACAGGAAAGAACAAACAACAATTTTTAGACTTCCGACTGGACACTGTGGTCTTCGAGCACAACTGTACAGGATAGGCATAAATGAATCTGCTGCCTGTGAAGAAGGTGTCTGTTACACACATATTCTCTGTTGTGTTTTTTGTAAGACTGTCTGTATGAGGATAGGTTGACGTATGTGACACACATCTTCTCTGTTGTGTTGTTGAAGGCTATCTGTAGATGTATGTGGGTTGATGCATGTGACGCACATCTTCTTTGTTGTGTTTTTAGGTGATTCTTGTGTATTTTATTATTAGTTTTTGTTTAGGATCTTCTGTTCAGAATACAAATGTTTGCATGTTCATTTCTATGGAGGGAGTTTTGGTTGATAGAAATAGTCATTGCCCAAAATAGAGCATTGCAAATGATAATATTGGACATGATAAGGTTGAATATGATCATTTTCAGTTTTGTGTCATTGGGTGTGATCATATTCAGAATGCTAATATGAGCGAGATACTAATTTTCTTCTTCTTCTTCTTCTTCATGGCCACCGGTTGTAAACTCTAGGGCAAAATTGTGGTCACTCGTCCACTTCTGGACTTTAGTTTTGTTCCAGGACTTAAGTTTTGTGTGCACATACATTTGACAGATGTGGCTTTTTTGTATACAAACTGTTGGTTCCTGGTGGATGCATTAGCGCAGTCAACAGGAGACTCGCTTTTAAATCCAGCTGCAACTTGCTGCAGCCCACAGCCGGTGTTCAGCACCAGGCGGTTTCTGGGGTTCACCCAGCCTCAAGGAAATGGGTACCAGAGTTGACACTTTGGGGTAAATGGAGAAACATTGCTGTAGCTACGGAGTTACGTGCGGACAGCGACACAGGCAAACAATTTTTTATCAGCTGTCCGTACAGATGGCAGAGGACTTATGGTTTATAACCGTGTGCAGTGAGGCTGGTTCACATCTCCCGACTTTACCTTTACCTTTCCCTTTTTACTGTTGGTTCCTTGACTCTGAGGCAGATGTATTTGTATTCTCACTTTGAAAGAAGCCCTTTATTAGTCAACTCTTAAAACTTGTTGTTTTGTCCCCCTCCCTGTGGCCCTGGAACCCGTACAGGAAGGAAGGTAGTAGTAAAAATGATGATATTGTGTATGCTAATGACACCATGTAGATCATAAATGGTTTGTATGGTAATGTTTTTCATTTGCATATTTCCACACGTGCAGTCAGCCGAGCGCTAGGCATCCCTGCTCGCTGTATAACAAACTTTGAATCTGCCCATGACACTGACGGCTCCATCACAATTGATGTGCACTTCCAGGCCAATGGAGAGTTGGATGATTTTTCCAATGATGACTCTGTCTGGTAAACTAGTTTCCTCATGTTTTGTGACTCTGTCTGGTAAACTAGTTTCCGCATGTTTTGTGACTCTGTCTGGTAAACTAGTTTCCTCATGTTTTGTTATGTTATTACAATCCGTTTCTTTGCATATTGGGTATTCCCATGCATGCTCAATCCTCTGATGCAGCAGCCACTCCAGGTTCATTCTACTGATTGTTCCCATGATAAGTTGGTTATAGTATCTCCTATTTTGACTTTGAAGATGATGATGATGGTGATAAAGATGATGAAGGTGATGATGATAATGATAATAATGATGATGATGACAATGATAATGATAATGATGATGATAATGATGATGGTGATGATGTGAGCAGTAAAAAACTTCAGCCCCAGTCCAAAAAAAAACTAGACATAATGAATTTATTTTAAAAACAAAATTTCATTTTGTCCAGGATCCCTGTTACATTGGCGGATAAAGGACAGGAGTAGAAGAAGCAGATAAATAAGAAGAATGAATGAAGGAATAAATGAATATATGTTACAAGGTCGTTCATTTATTATCCTGTTGGGCCATTAGATGTCACATGGGGCTAAAACAATCTATTCCTTTTTTGTAATGTTAAAATTGAATATTCAGGAGTAAGTTGAGATGTCTTCTGGTGATACTGTGCTCAAGCCTAGAGCTGCTGGTAACACTGTGCTCCAGCCTAGAGCTGTTGGTGGCACTGTGCTCCAGCCTAGAGCTGCTGGTTACACTGTGCTCCAGCCTAGAGCTGTTGGTGACACTGTGCTCCAGCCTAGAGCTGTTGGTGACACTGTGCTCCAGCCTAGAGCTGCTGGTGACACTGTGCTTCAGCCTAGAGCTGTTGGTGACACTGTGCTCCAGCCTAGAGCTGCTGGTGACACTGTGCTCCAGCCTAGAGCTGCTGGTGACACTGTGCTCCAGCCTAGAGCTGCTGGTGACACTGTGCTCCAGTCTAGAGCTGCTGGTGACACTGTGCTCCAGTCTAGAGCTGCTGGTGACTGTGCTCCAGCCTAGAGCTGCTGGTGACACTGTGCTCCAGTCTAGAGCTGGTAGACTTGCATCAAGTGCTGTTGATGATGTGATATGGATTGCAGTATCAATGCGAGGCCCATTGCTGTAGAGGTGGCCTCATTCACTTCTGGCTTATGCAGACCTGATTCTATTCTTGCTCTGGGTCATGCAGATTAAAAAAAATAAAATATAATAATAATAATAAAAAACAAAAAAAGCATGGCATGCTTCCCCAAAAACAAGGTTAAAGGCGAGAGGGTGAACTTAACTGCACTAGATTTTATCCCACATGGCTTAGTCACTCTCTGCAGTTCCCTGCAAGAGCATCACACAAAGCACAGACACAGTAACTTTAGCAAGATCCTTATGGTCTTTATAAAAATTACACCTTTGAACCGATGACATAGACTCACGACACTCAGAGCCTGAGGCAAAAGGCTTTACCATATTGCCAAGGGTAGTGCAGTCAAATCTTCTCAGACTGAACATTCTGAAAGATCCCTGTGAATGTTATGTGTGTTACGAATCACCGGACATTTGTCAGTCAAACACAAACAGTCACACCTGTCATAGTCTAGTCTATATTTTAAAAAATAGACAAGCAAATCAACAATAGGAATATTTATGGTTGTACCAGGGTGTCCCTTAAGGAAACAAAAATGTTGAAAACTTTTCTTGTTTGTGTTATGCTCTAAATGACTATTCTTGTTTTTAAATCACATTTTCATGCATGTCCCCCACTGCAGAAGAACATGGATAAGCACAGATGTAGTTATGCTTGTAATGGTGTTGACGATATGTCTATTTTTCTTATATTTGGAAACTTTTGGAATATCCAACTGTTTAAGTAAACACACATTTAGATTGCCACCAATGCTAGAAGGTTTATGCACTGAGCTCAGATTCTCTTTGTATGGCATGTGGGAGGAGACTGAAGCACTTCTGAAGAAGTGCAATAAAAGTTATCCATGGGGTAGCTTTAGGTGGTAAGTAAAGGACTCTTTTCACATCATTGTCGCGTTGGACAAATGATGCTAAACTCATCAACTTGTATTGGCAATCTGGCACACAGTGGGTAGTGTGGTCAAGATTCTGCCAGCCACCTTTACTTCCACAGCACTTCCTGGTACACATTTTAAGGCTGGGTTGACTTGGGAGCCAAGGTCAATGTGTGTTTTTTTCCTTCAAATCGGCTCAGTGCAGATTCAAACCCAAGATGTCAGCATTTGGTGGAACTGTTATGTTCAGTATTTCTTAAACATCCTGCAAATGTGACCTTGACCTGTAGCCTGCTTTCTTGCAGTGGCAAAGCGTGCATGCAACAGTTGTAGTCGTGCCACTTACACATTCCAGTGCCACTTACACTTTCCTGTGCCACTTACACTTTCCAGTGCCACTTACACTTTCCTGTGCCACTTACACTTTCCAGTGCTGCCACTTACACTTTCCAGTGCCACTTACACTTTCCAGTGCTGCCACTTACACTTTCCAGTGCCACTTACACTTTCCAGTGCCACTTACACTTTCCAGTGCTGCCACTTACACTTTCCAGTGCCACTTACACTTTTCTGTGCCACTTACACTTTCCTGTGCCACTTACACTTTCCTGTGCCACTTACAGTTTCCAGTGCCACTTACACTTTCCAGTGCCACTTACACTTTCCTGTGCAAAAGAGAAATGTGTTATTTTACTACTTATTATTGCTGTTGGCTATTTATACTACAAATATCTTGAACACATTGAAAAGAATGCTTGCTGAATGTTTACACTACTGATGCAGAAACTTTAACGTTTGAAAGCTAAATTTCTAGCAGCATATGCATTCTCTCGACAGAGAAACAATGAGGAAAATATCATGCCTTCTTTTTCCATTGTCATCATTACCTACGAAAGCCTACACATGTGAATTGATCACTCCTCACCACTGAATGCTTGTCGCTGATGTTGTTTTTGACATGTCCTAGGAACTTCCACTGCTGGAACGAGGCATGGATGTCCAGACCTGACCTCCCTGCAGGCTATGGAGGCTGGCAGGCCTTTGATTCCACACCGCAAGAGACATCTGATGGTGAGTCACAGATCTGCCTACGCCTGTTATGGTCTTCGCCAGTGTGTGACTAGGTTCATAAGGAAAGCAGAGAATAGTAAAGCTATTATCTAATATGTATGTCATCAAAGACAATCAAGGAGGGTTGGCGTTTTGCTGATTAGCTTATTCTGTAGAAAACTACCTGAAAAATGCAACTATCCATGATCAAGTTTACAAAAGGTAAATTAATGGGTTGAGCTCCATTATCTCAACTGAGAGTGTTAAGACAGAAGAATCCAGTCATGCCTTTTTTTGTGCAATGATTAATTTGATTTGTTGTTGTAGTAAAAGCAGTTTTTCCTTTATTTTTATATTAAATTACTTTGATTGCATGCTGTCTTTCTTTTTTTTTTTAAATCAGATTTCACCTTTACTAGTCTTATTTAAATGTCTATCTATTAAATATATTATCTGTTAAATATCTATTTAATATTTCATCTATTACATATATAATCTTTTAAATATCTAATCTGTTTAATATCTTACCTATTAAATATCTTTTCTAATAGATATCTTATCCAGTAAATATCTTATCTTTTAATATTTAATCTATTAAGAGTCTTATCTATCATCTATTAAATATCTTATCTGTTAAGTTTTATCTATTAAGTATCTTATCCATTAAATATCTTAACCATTAGGTATCTTATCCATTAAATTTTTATCTATCAAATATTTTATCTATTAAATGCCTTATCTATTAAATATCTTTTCCATACATTGAGAGATTTTACGTAAATGTTATGCAGCGAAAGAAGGATTTTAGAAACCTTTAACACTGATGTGAAGATCTAAGAATATTAATTTTAGAAAAAAACATACTGGCAACAAGAAGCAGTCATAAAGATTGACAACCAAGTTGGAACTTTTCAAAACATTAAACTAGTTGTTAGGGATGTGTACTGTCACCAAATGGATTTAAAGTTAGTAGTAAAAGAAATTAGTACACGAAGGGCTGTAGGAATAGAGAAGATCAGGAATGAGATCATAAGAGAACAAGTCGGCACAGAACCAATTCTGGATTACATACAAAGACAGCAAGTGAAATGGTTTGCCCACTTAGAGAGAATGCCTTGTGACACCATACCATACAAAGCATACATGGAAAGAGAAGAAGGACGTAGAGCACGGGGTAGACCAAGAACAAGATGGAAGGATAACATCACAGAAACTCTACAACAGCACGATGTGCCTATGGTTGAGGCAGCCAGAAGAGCTAGAAACAGAACCTTATATCTCCCTCGACACCCACAGCGGTAAAAGAGGAAGTGAAGAAGAAGAAGAAGTGGGACAAACCTCAAGCAAGTTGATATATTTCAGTAACTGGACACCCTGATAACATTAGATGGAAGATGTATTAAGGAAGTTAAATATTGAAAAGGCAGAATTTTACGAAATGAAGAATTTTTTATGCAATCTTTCTTTGTCAATTGAGATGAGAAAGAGAATTCTTAAAAGCTATAAAATCCTAAATTGATATACGGCAGTGAATCATGGACAGTGTAAATTAGGGAAAACTTATTTGGAAGCTGCGGAGATGTCGCTTTATTGATGTATGATGAGAATACCATGGACAGTTAAAAAGAGTAATGAAGACGCCTTGAAAGAAACTGACATGAAGAGAACTGATTGTCCACATCAGAAAAAAGATAATCTACATTCTTTGGTCATGGGATGAGAAGGAAAAAACTGGAGTGCGCTGTGACGGTAGGAAAGCTGGAGGGAAGGAGAGGCAGAGGGAGACTAAGAGAACAGATGCTGGATGGTCTGACATCATGGCGTGGAGGGTCATCTGTTTTAGAGTTGATTGAAAGTATACGAGACAGAAGGTTGTTGATAGACATGACTACTAACGCCACACAGCTTGGATTTTAAGAAAAAGAACATTTTATCTGTCTAATCTGATTTATCTTGGTTACTATCATAGCTGGTCTTGTCTGATTTATCTGGATAATAACTTCTTTTCTGTCTTATCTGATTATTTGGCTTTATAATTGTTCTTTTTGAACATGGTGTATGTTACTGCTTCATTTTATACATTTTTTTTTTAAAGTCTTTGCTAACTGATCTGTCAAATGTGAATATTGAATATTCTAAATATGTAAATCAGTAACACTATTATGGAGGAGTTGTAATACCTGAAACAAGATGCCTGGTAGGCAGGACTTTTTTGCTAAAACTTATTCTCCTTCAGCGGCTGTAGACTCCAGCAAAAAATTCTGGTTGTTCTCAAATTCTAGACTTGAGTCTGGTTCCAAAACCTGAGTTTTGCATGCACATCTGTTTTACTGATCTGACTTATTTGTGTGCAGACTGTAGGATCATTGCCTGGCAGATAGATGCATTCCTAAAGAAAGATTTCTAATTAGTCAACTGTTAGGACATGCTTGTTGAGGAGCCTTAGGGATTTTTCTAGAATATAAGGTGCAGGTACTCACCACAGAGTGTCTTAAAAAAGGTGCCCCTACTCGCTGCAAAGTATCTGTTACAGTAATACTGAAAAAATTATGCCTAAAAACTTTTGGAACAAAATTGTGAATGTAGCAGAACTGTGTGTGCATAACAGTAGAAACAAAAGTATGGTTGTAGGTATTAGACAAAGAATCACCCCAGAAATCAACACTTACAGCATAACTGTGTGTGTTTGTGTGTGTGTGCAGGTGTGTACTGTGGTGGCCCTACATCTGTATACGCCATCCAGCTAGGAGAAGTGCATCTGCCATACGACAGCCCGTTTGTCTTTGCCGAGGTCAATGCTGACAGGCTGTACTGGAAACCCGATGAACGGGGTGTCATGAAGTGCACTTACTATGACAAGAAAGTGTAAGTTGATTTGATCTTATTTTAAATAATGGGGATACAGGCAATACACTGAACAGTTTATGCAGGGCTGCCAATGCTGGGTTTACCCCCAGATCTGGGTTTTTATTTGACGCCTTGGGGAAATCTGCTTTTTTTTTTTAAATATATCTTTTCATAAAAGTGGTAAATGTTTCGTTTCGTAACTATAAATTTTATACATTTTTACAATCTGGGTTTTTTTGTTTGTTCTTTGTCTATGTATTGCTTGGGTTTTTGTTTAGCGAAGCTGGGTTTTTCAAAAAACACAGAGAAGATATTGACAAATATCTCAAAAACTGATAAAAACAAGTGAATCTAAATATCCAGGGTTTGATTTCACGTCAGAGAGAAGAATGAATACAGAAACCAACATATGAATCACAAATGTAAGTTAGCTTCCTCAATACTTTGGACAAATAGAAGTATACCTTTGTCTTCTAACTTTGGCCAGCTTTATGCTTTCAGTGTCAAACATAGACTCTAACTGTAATTAATTAATCAAAATCATAACTACAGAGATTCTTCTTCTTCAAGTTCACCAGCTGTACACTCTGGCGGAAAGTTCTGGTTGCTCGTCCACTACTGAACTGCAGTCCTGCTCCAGAACCTGAGTGTTGCGTGTGCATCAGTTTTACAGATCTCATTCTCTTGTATATAGACTGTTGGTTCCTTGCCTCTCCGGCAGATACACTCCGACTTCAAAGGAAGCTCCCCAATTAGTCGACTCTTATGACATGCTTTTTGGTAGGCAGTGGGTCTGTTCTTGCTTTCCCCACAATGGGGCCCCGGAACCCAAAAGAGGGACTACAGAGATGAAATGTCTTATAAAAGTTGTAGGATTAACAAGAAAAGATGGCATTTAAAAGAAAGAAATGAGAGGCGGACTAGGAATGAAGCCAGTCATACAGTTTATTAAAGAGCAATAGATGAGATGGTTTGGTCATCTGACTAGAATGCCCTGGTAACAATTGCCACAGAGAGCCAGGCTGAAGAGGTTTAAAGTTTGTGGTTTGAACAACGGATCAACATCATGGAATGCGAGTAGTAACCCATAAGTGTTCTGTTCTTTTTTTAACTCAAGTCTGAGTCTGAAGAAGCTCATTTACAGTGCACAGGCTCTGTAGCACCGGTGAGGATCCTGAAATACTTTGAGTATATTTTTAACTCTAGATTTGCCTGGGCAGGGCCGTTAGGCTACTCTTTTTGATTTCCAACTACCAAGGGATTTTTTATGTGCGCGTCAATGCACACGGGCGTCCAATCTCAATACTGGGAGACCAGAGGAAATTACTAGAAGTTTAAATCCACATCAAAAATTTCCAGCCCTTACCGGGGATTGAACCCAGAACCTCTAGCACTCAAGGCAGACAAAATGCCTGGAGACCACACAGCACCCTACATGAACACAGAGCAAGGGCAAGAACACACACAAAATAAAATGATAGCCCCAAAGAACAGCTGTAAAGAGATTAGGATCCACTCTTACAATGCATTCAAAAAAGGAACACAAAAGATCTCACATGTCCCCTCAACACTTTGACGAAGTAACTGGATGGGAAAATATAAGAATTTAGGATCTTGCTAGAAATTTTCTATTAATTAATTAATTTGGTACCTTCTGGGTTTTTTCAGCTCCTGATAGGGCAAAGGGGATTAATAAAAACGCGGAGCTAAGATCGGATACACAATTTTCACATTTCCAGTGTCCAGGACTTATCTGCTGCCCTTCACAAATCAGCATTATCTAGCTGCTCTGTAATCCAGCAATCTGGATGTGATGCAGTATATTCGGAACGAGCACTTTGTGTGCATGTTTTTAGTGACATTTGATTCAGTTATTTTTTTTACAAACCATCCCCCCCCCCCCCCCCCCCCCCCCCACATACACAACCAGCTCAACACCACACAGCCAGCTCAACACAACCAGCCTCCCCTCCACACAACCAGCCTCCCCTCCACACAACCAGCTCAACACCACACAACCAGCTCAACACCACACACCAGCTCAACACCACACAACCTCCCCTCAACCACACAACCAGCTCAACACCACACAGCCAGCTCAACACCACACAGCCAGCTCAACACAACCAGCCTCCCCTCCACACAACCAGCTCAGCACCATACAGCCAGCTTTCCTTAACCCAACCAGCTTTCCTCTACACAACCAGCTCCCCCCCTCCCCCAAAACACACACAACCAGCTTCCCTCCACACAACCAGCTCCATCCCACACAACCAGCTCACTTCCACTGAATTAAAATGTGTATATATTTTGTACATGTTGTTGCAATAAATGACCTTCTGTTTTGTCCAGGATCGGAAAGAGTATCAGCACCAAGGCAGCAAACTCCACCAGAAGAGAAGACGTCACAAATAACTACAAGCATCCAGAAGGTAGAGCTCTCGCATCACTAAAAACATCTTTTCTGACCCTGAAATTGATTAGGTCCCTTTGGTCTTAATGTGTGACAGCTGTCTGCTGAAACAAAGCCTGCTGCACTGACTAGGACGTATCTCCTGCATGGAAGACGGCCATAAGCCAAAGGATCTCTTGTCTGGTAAAGTGGAAATAGGGGAAAAATCTACGGAGAGACCAAAGCTACACTGTAAGGGGTGTTTGAACACCTGACATCCAGGATGACAGGCAAATGCATGGAAGATTGTCATATTCCAAAGGATCTCTTGTCTGGTAAAGTGGAAATAAGTTAAAAATCTACGGAAGAGACCAAAGCTACACTATAAGGGGAGTTTGAACACCTGACATCCAGGATGACAGGCTAATGGGCTTACCCATTATTAGCTGTGATAATAAATTGATACCATCCATTTCTTGAGATAGGAGACGTCGAAAAATAAATAAAAATCAGATAATTACATGGAATATTTAATTTTGTTTTAAGTTAACTGTTCAAGGGATGTAGAAGTTCTACACAGTCTTGACTTAAGTCTTGTATGGCAGCAGTTGTGCAGTATCGGCTTGAAATGTGCACAACACTTGTTGAACACAATCTGTTCTGAAGTCAGGCCTTAGTTAAAAGTAAAGGTAAAGTCGGGAGATGTGAACCAGCGTCATTGCACACGGTTATAAACCATAAGTGCTCTGCCACCAGTACGGACAGCTGATAAGAACTGTCCGCCTGTGTCGCCATTTGCATGTAAATCTGTAGCTACAGCGACGTTCCTCCATTTACCCCAGAGTGTCAACTCTGGTACCCATTTCCTAGAGGCTGGGGGAACCCCGGGAGCCACTCGGTTTCAAACACCGACCGTGGCTGCAGCGAGTCGTGGCTGGATTTGAAAGCGAGCCTCTTATCGACTGCACTAATGCAGCCCCTCAGGCCTTAGTTGATGTATGTGATGAAAACACAGCTGATCAAAATACAAGTGCAAGTAAATCTGTAAAATGGCGCGCAGGATTTACAAAACCTACTGTGTTCTGTGACAGAGCAGTTTTTATGTTGACACGAGTGTATATGTCTGTAGAGCAGGTACAGCAATTATAAACTGCAATTAAAAGTTTAGTCTCTAATCATTTACTACAGGATCTCCGGAGGAAAGGGCAGCAGTGCTGAAAGCAAACCAAGTGGGATCCACCAGGACTGACATCTATAAGAAAACTGTTGATGTATGTTTGATCTGTGTTGTGTGGATGTTGTCAATGTAGACACCTTTCCATCTTTTTGGATGGCAGTGTTATCATGTGCTTCAAGGAAGCATGAGACTCCTCATGCAATAGCGGCGAGAGTGACTAGCAAGACCCGCCCACATATTCCACAAGCAGGACAATATTGCCATCATGTTTTTGAGTGTGTTTCTTCTCAGAGGCTCTGCTGCCAGCCTTCCTGCAAACATTTCTTACTTAATTCTCATTACCTTCCTGATTTTCCCTCTCTAAGCAACGTGATCCATAGCACTTTATTCCACAAAGCCACTCCAATACCTCTATCATTCTTGATCCACTCTAATACCTCTATCATTCTTGATCCACTCTAATACCTCTATCATTCTTGATCCACTCCAATACCTCTATCATTCTTGATCCACTCCAATACCTCTATCATTCTTGATCCACTCCAATACCTCTATCATTCTTGATCCACTCTAATACCTCTATCATTCTTGATCCACTCCAATACCTCTATCATTCTTGTTCCACTTCAATACCTCTATCATTCTTGATCCACTCCAATACCTCTATCATTCTTGTCCCACTTCAATACCTCTATCATTCTTGATCCACTCTAATACCTCTATCATTCTTGTCCCACTCTAATACCTCTATCATTCTTGATCAACTCCAATACCTCTATCATTCTTGATCCACTCCAATACCTCTATCATTCTTGTCCCACTTGCACAGGTCCTTACATCGTAGTCAAAGCTGGCCTTGACAACTTCTACCTGTCTGTAATTCACCATAGAGAATGTCCATACGACTCTACAATCCTCCATTCTCTATGTGTGATCCACCCACCTAAGCCTTTTGAAACTGAGCACTGGGAAAACTGTTGTAATAAACTGTTGTTTGTGTGTAAAATAATAAAAAGAATCATCGCTGAAGCTACAGAGTATGATCTCTGTGCATGATACCATCTTCAGATGGCAACGGAGAGAGTGGGAAAAGGAGAAGACAAGGAAATGGAGAGAAAAGACGGCATAGAAATCACTGCTTACTGAAATGTGGTGTGGGAAGATCTATATGTGTGGGTGCCCGGCTCTCTAGCGGAATTGGCTAAACCGGATTTCGCGGAGACCGGGTGACGTACTCCTTGTGGTCCGGGTTCAATCCCGGGGGTAGGCAGGAAAGCCACATTTTCTTCCAGATTTACGGTATTTACAATGGAATCAAGGCCGAAAGGTTGCGATATCCATAATACCGAGCCTAAGGGTTAACAACTCATGGCTTCTGGATACTAAAACAAAAAAACAAACTGTATGTGTGGGTGTGAATGTTAGACATCTAATATACAGTTTTCTTCATAAACTGTCTGATCTGTGGTCAGGGGAAATAGAGTTACTTACCTGGGGATCTGAAACCATACTTCACTTTAAAAAGTAATCATTTTTTTAAAGGAAATTCAGGAAGGTTATTCTGTGTTCCTCTTATAAAGTTTCCTTAATATTTAAATCAGGTCACTTTTAGCCTCTGAACCAGCAAAAAAAAAAAAAAAAAAAACACACACACAAAAGACAAAAGTCATAAAAAGCCATATTGGGAGAGAATGACCCTTATTATTGTTGGATTTTACCCATAGAATCGACCAGACCTGTGGGAAACAGAAACTTGGCATCTCCATCATAACAACACACCCACCTGCTTTCATTGTCTGATTCAGATTTTGGTACAGCTTATGATTCTAACCCCATCTCGTTGAGCTGCATGATTTCATAGCAGTTCCCATGAGTCTTGTATGTTCTAGAGGTTGCTTGTTTAGAATGTTTTAAGCACATCCACTGCCAATAAGCATACAATTACAAAAACATAAATGATTCAATACTCATGAATCGTCACACCTTCGGCACTTTCCTCTGCAGTATTTCTTTCTTGTACACAGTCACCTGTGGCACCTGAGACCTAATCACAACCACACATTCCAGAAAAAACATAAAAGCTCGTTTATAGAAAAGAGAGCTGTGAGAAAAAAAGCTGTGCAGTTTTGTCAGGGAGACAGTGTGTCGACCTTATCAAACAAACGGAGTCACTTTTTGGCACGCTGTCTTTAGATATTAAAGTAAGACATCTCACAACATCCCTATAACATAGGACAGCCTGTGGGAACTGCTGTGAAATCTCACAGCCAAACAAGATGGGGTGACAATTGTGAGCTGTACCTATATTTTTTCTGGTCTAACATAGCGGCATGGCTTCTTGTCGTTTGTACTTCTTGACAGATATTGTAGTTAATATCAAAGCAGATAAAAAATGTTAAATTACTTTAGTAAAAATACATGTTGTTATAGTTTAGGGAGATCCGTCATGGATGTTTAAAAAGTAAAAAGTATGTTTTTTTTATTTTGTGTACCCATCCCTCCCACAGGATGTCAAATTTAAAGTTGTACAAGATACTGAGAACACATGGGTGGGTGCCAGTTTTGATGTTGGTCTCAGCATGAAGAATAACAGTACCCAGACACGAACTGTCAAAGGACGAATCTCCGTCAGCACCATGTACTACACTGGCATCAATGCAGACAAGCTCAAGTCAGAGCCTTTCACTGTTGTTCTAAAACCGGGCACAGGTGCGACACTGAGAATGTTCATTTTCTTATTGTTTTTGTTGTTGTTCTTCTTCTTTTTCTTCTTCTTCTTCTTCTTCTTCTTCTTCTTCTTCTTCTTCTTCTTCTTCTTCTTCTTCTTCTTCTTCTTCTTCTTCTTCTTCTTCTTCTTCTTCTTCTTCTTCTTCTTCTTCTTCTTCTTCTTCTTCTTCTTCTTCTTCTTCTTCTTCTTCTTCTTCTTCTTCTTCTTCTTCTTCTTCTTCTTCTTCTTCTTCTTCTTCTTCTTCTTCTTCTTCTTCTTTTTCTCTATCTTCTTCTTCTTCTTCTTCTTCTTCTGCTTTTTCTCTATCTTCTTCTTTTTTTCTTCTTCTTCTTCTTCTTCTTCTTCTTCATCTTTATCATGTTCTTCTTCTTTGTTCATTCATTTGTTCACTTGCTTATTTGATCGTTTGTTTGTTCGTTCATCCAAAGATGTAAGTGTGTTGTATTCCTTTACAACATAGCTATGATATTTGTTCCATTCAGCAGACACATCCGGCTTCTGCAGGCATCTGTTGACTGGGTTAGCCTTTTCGGTTGAATGTTCGTTATCTAGCGGTTGATTCTGACCTGAGTGACTGAAAGAATTACAGTTTGTATATTCTCGAACTGCCATATGTGAACACACCAACAAACGACACAGACATATACACAAGCCACCTACATACATTCACACCCATAAAAGCCACACACATACACACAAACACCAAAAAAATCCATAAACAGAAACACACTCACAGAAGCTACACGGACACCCACACACACATAAAAGCCATACACACTCACAAAAGCCACATACACACACACACCTACAAAAGCCACACGCACGCCTCCAAAAAACACAAATGCACAGACATCATCATCATTATCACCATTATCATCATACAATAATTAATTATCATCATGATTTCCTCATTGTCATCATTATTATCTCTGCCATCATCATCATCATCCTCATCATCAAGTAAGTCAGTCTGTAGCTTCAGTTAAGAATATGTTTCATCATCATCATCATTGTCATCATCACTTTCACGTTAATCAGCCTTGAACTGGGGGTGAAGTCTACTTTTGATGACATCCCCTCTCTCTTCTTCTTGCTCTCAGCAACTCTTTAATTTTGAGCCTCAGAGTCCATGCCTGCTCATTTGATTGTAGTTGTTTGTTGAATGAGCTGCCTCATGTTCTCTTACCCACAAAGCATTGCATGTCTAATGTGTTTTAAATCCATTGTAATTCATTATTATTACAAGTGATGTAGTGATTCCAATGAACTTTCAACCCCCAGAGAAGGAACAGAAGGTGGTTGTCACCCAGGATGAGTATGACGGGAAATTAAAGGACTGTTGCATGCTGGATGTTGCTATCCTGGCCCATGTTGAGGAGACTGATCAGTATTTTACAATCAAGGAGAATTACACACTCCGCAAGCCACATCTTTCTGTCAAGGTAATCATAGTTATTTCAGCTCCATTGTTTTATAGTTAGTTGACCAACCCAATCTCCGTCTGTATAATTTAAAGTGTGTTGTATTGTATTTGATGCAAAAAGGTCGAACTTTGACATTTGCATACGTCCTAATATTTTAAAGGTCAGACAGGCATGACATGACCAGAGACTTGCAAATGATGGAGTGGTATCAACAGACAGGGTCAAGGGTAAATCCAGAGAAGGTTAGTAAAGGTAAAGGTGAAGTCGGGAAATGTGAACCAGCGTCTTTGCACACTGTATAAACCATAAAAAATTTAGCTTTTTTATCTACAACTTAAAGCTTGAAGATGGAAGTGCAGCTCTGATTTGGATAGCAAAAAAACAAAGTTAGCGGAGGAAATATTGTGTCTGATTCTCAGTCGGCACTGCGTACTTCTAAAAATGGACTAATGTGGCATGAGTGGATATCATGCATCAGTATGCCAACATTGCAGGGATCACATGAATAAACTGTCCGGGATATGCAGGAGTGCGGGGAAATGAAACTGTGGATTTGCTGACTACTAAAGCTGTGAGAACAATCGTACTGGACAAAGGAGACAATCTGAAGACCATATATGAGCGAATGTTGCAGAAGACATGAGATTAGATGAAATAACAAACAGCAAGAATGTGTGAACGAGAATAAGGAGTGGATCCGGCAAGGAGGGACGTATGAGAGGAAGAGAACATGTGTGCATAATCAGTGTGCTACGGGAACAGTTAGCATCATTCTTTAAGACATTTTAGGCAGGAAATGGAGCAGCTATGTGTTTGCCCGATGTGCCTTGATGTTGATTCTTAAATCATTAATTAGTAGGCAGTACAAAGCTCAATAATGTATTGGATGTTCCATGTTTATGTTTCCAGGCTCCCGCCGAGGCTGTCGTGAACAAGGAGTTCAAGATTGATGTGTCATTTACCAACCCTCTCACCAGCAGCCTGACAGAATGTTCTGTGACAATCGACGGAGTGGCTCCTGCAATCAAATTTCCGCAAGGGTTAGATATGATTTTATTTTGTTGGTCTTGTTACAGTCTGTATTGTGAGCCGTTGTGGTGTAGCAGTTGGATGCTTGCCTGCAAATTGGAAGGTCATGGGTTTGTGTCGTGATGGAGCCAAATTAAAATAAAAAAATAATTACCTTGGCTACGAGCTTTGAGCGGGTACCAGAAAAAGTCATGAGTAGTAAGCGCAGCTGGCATAATGCTGACCATTTCACCTACCTGAGTTCGGACTGGTCTGTAAAATATAGATTCAGCCCTATGTGCCCAATACGCCTGAAGATGTAGAAAAGGGGCCCTAACTTTACAATATGTATTATTTGTTAACAAATTAATATTTAGAAACAGAGAAGCAGCGAGAAATGGATGTGAAGAATGACTGACTGGCTGACTTTCTACCCCACCAGGACATCACACAAGCGATAAACACCCGATGATACAATGTGTCACCATGTGGGTGAGGATCACCGTGGAGAGGTCCCAGAAACCCCGTTCAGCCATTAGGCCATATTGCGGCCCTGGCAAGAGCCACAGTAGGGCTTCAAAGAACAAAAAATCATAACCTAAAAAGGATGAAAAATTATTATATATATATATATGAAGAAGAATGGTGGCAATAGCAGGGACAGAAGTGAAAGGTGAAACAGACACAGGGGCATTAACAGCTGCATGTTTTTCTAGATCACTCAATTTAAAAAAAAAAAAAAAAAACAGGAGTTTAAATTTCTGGGGCATAGTGGCTGCAATGAATGGGTAGAGAAGTTAGCCTTACATAAAAAGCAATGAGGCAAGAGAGACAATGGTGAATATTTAAAAATCTGAAAGTGGAAAAACTGAACTGCTAGAGAACACATGAGCAAAGATTGTGTCAGTCAAATATGAAATCATGAGATGAAAAGTATATTATATAATAAATCACTGTCATTAAACATCAGAAAAAGAATACTGAAATGTTCTATCGAGCTTGTTCTGTTGTATGGTAGTGAATCTTGGAATGTGAGCAGACAAATTAAGAAGAGTTTGGAAGCAACTGAGTTGTGGTTCTTGAGAAGAATGTTGTGAATAACTTGGACTGGCTGAATAACTAACAATAATTGTCTGGAAATGACTAATGAAAGTAGAACAGTACATACAACAATGAGGAGACATACAAAGTTCTTTGTAAAAGGAGCACTGGAAAATATGACGACTGGAAAGATCACCAGTAGAAGAGGCAGAGGCAGACTAAGAGAAATGATGGTGGATGTCTTATGATAGTGGCATGGAGGAATATCATCAGTGAAGCTGATCCAGAACACCAAAGATTGAGATCTGTGTAGATGCATGAATGCAAATGCCAGCTGTATGACAATTCATAAAATTAGACTTGGAAAATTTAAATAAATGTTTTCTATGTTCCCCCCAAATAAGATCACTTGACACGTTGCCTTGTGGTTTACAGGCTGCAATTGTTGTGCCATTTAGAATTCCCCCCCCCCCCCCACCACATCAAATTTTTGCAAACCCTACTAAAAGCTTTTTATGATATGCTTGTAAGGGGTCAATAGGTCTGTTCTATTTCCCTTCCACAATGGGCGCCTGAATCCACAATTAAATGATCTCAATGGCCTCCTTATCCATGTAAGAACTATGCAATCTTTTAGTAAGCTTTTGTTGTAACTTTTCTCATTCTGGGATGTTGCCATGGCAGTCACGAAATTAGAACCTACATTTTATTATTTCCAAGAAATCTTTCATATGCACCTTGTACATAGAACAGTTATTAGTGTATCATTGACAGGATGCAGAACCAACACCAGCATTTTCCAGGCCGTTAGATTTCACTAGCGGCGTCTGTGGCTCAGGCATTTGCTAGTCCGATTTGTAATTCCAAAGTGCCGTGATTGAAACTCACTGCTGGCTGCGTTTTTTTTTTGAGGGGGGGTCATTGTATGGAGCGTCACAGGTCGACCCACCCTAAAATGGGTACCAGAATGGCTGTCCTGGGAAAGAAAAGATGGCCGGCGTAATGCTGACCACATTACCCACCTAGTGCCGATGGTCTGTAAAATTATGTGCACTCTCCACTCCCCCCCCCCCCCCCCATATACCCGATACACAAAGGTGTGAAACAGGATGTTTACTTTATTTTACTTAAGCAATATTGCTAGTCAATTTCATGTTTATTAGGTTGCAATTGCTTTCTGAATGTTCGAGTTTCACTGTTGAAACTAACACTAGATGGTCTGCTGCCAAATTTCCTGCAGCCAGGATACAATCCAGAATCCCAGAATTACGAAGTATGTTCACAGTGCTTAAGCCACATACGTTGAGTCCTGCAGATAAGGAATCTATTTTGTGTCTGCAAGTGTGAGAGAGAAGGATGCAACGTAGTGTACACTACAAGGATCACTAATTGCTGCGTCTGATTGTTTTTTTCTCACAGAAGTGTGGCACCCTCCGGGACATTCACAGCAACACTTCCCATCACGCCCACCAAAGTGGGACGTCAAGAAGTTATCTGCATCTTCAACTCCAAGCAGCTTGAGGACATCAATACATCCACTCCCATCGTCATCAATGCTGCGTAAATACTGCAGACAGTTCTCTCGCTGCACTCCCCTGCCACCTGGAAATTTATAGTTTGTTGGTTGATAATGTGCCTTTTCTTCATGCTTTTTTAGTATTTGTATTGCTCTAATTTCAGTGAATAGGAACCGAAACAAAAACATATTCCTATATTATATGACAGTTTCGGTGATCGTCCATTAACTCTTTGAGTCCCAAGGAACGCATCATACTTTAATAGATTCCTAATTAGAGGCCCAATGAACGCATGATGTGCCGATTTTACGTCCTTCTTGACTACCCCTTGGGCCTGTGATGTTAAACCCCCTGGGATTCAAAGAGTTAAAACTGAAATAAATTTTTTTTTAATGTAAACTATATTTCAGTAATTGGGTTTAGAGGACAGTTTTTCAGTTTCTGTAGTCTGAATTTATCAGAAGTAATGTTTGTATTTATTTTAACAGTTTGTCAATATTTTCAAGAATGCCCCATTTTGTCTTAAATAACTGATTATTTAGTAAAATTATACCCATTGTCGACAGAATCTAATAAGTTGTTTTGCTAGGAAGGCTAAATGTGATCCTGTCAAACTGAAGAGCTTCAGAATTGAAACTTTACATTTTTGTTGTTGTAGTTTTTTTTTTTTTTAACTCAGTCGGCTGTGAAATGGAGAGAACAGTAATCTTACTTCTTGCACAAATTTATCAGTGCTACTGTGATTGCTTAGATAAAGGGATGTATGGTGCCCCCATGGAAGTCTGGTATCCGCCTAGAAGTCTGGTGCCCCTATAGAAGTCTGGTGCCCCCTAGAAGTCTGATGCCCCTATAGAAGTCTGGTGCCCCTATAGAAGTCTGGTGCTCCCTAGAAGTCTGGTGCCCCTATAGAAGTCTGGTGCCCCTATAGAAGTCTGGTGCCCCTAGAAGTCTGGTGCCCCCATGAAAATCTGATGATACCATTGAAGCATGATGCCCCCATTGAAGTCATCATTGTTCAGCTTTTGCGACCATTGATTTTGAAACTCATCTCATTTCCATTTTTTTTTTAAACCCAATACTTTCCACACTTTGTGCCATAATGATCTTGTTCCTGGAAGAGTTGATAAAGCTTTTTTTAGTCAGACAATTCAAGTTTTTTAAACTGTTCAAGAATGTTGTTTTTAATTGCCTTTTTCTAAAATTTACCAGATTATCAATAGTAACTGGATGTTTGTTTTTTAACTTTAATATCAGATGTAAATAATTTTCTTTATAAATACAATTTTAGATCATGTAGACACAAAGAGTATATCATGTAAAAAAAAAGTAAATCACAATGTGATTGTTCAAAATTTCAGTGAAAAGTTATTTAATATGTATATATTTCTTTATATATATATATATATATATATATATATATTATATATATATATATATTATAATATATATATATATATATATATATATATATATATATATATATATATATATATATATATATATATATATATATATATATATATACTTTAACAAACAATGACCGTCATTAGAATTCTCTCATTTTATAAACAAAAACTGAAACTTAATGATCTAAGTTTATATAAATCAGTGCTGATAATCACATTTGCTATTTTATTTGTCCTGACTTTGATTGTATGCTGGCTGAAGTCATGCAGCGAAGCCACAAAGACAACTTATAAAATGTACAAAGATAAATAAAACATCTGTTGGGCCAGATTATGAGAAGAGAAAATCTGAAACTTAAAAATGTGTGAGGTTTAACGGGCAAAATGAGCAGGAAGACTAGGAGAGGTTATTGTACGCAACCTTTGACTGGCTGGGAGAAAATATCAGCATAGGAGATGATGCATTCTATTGAATATCACAAGATGTTGAGAAGCATGACTGATCAAGTTTACTGCCTAGAAGATTCTTGGCAAGCCATTGTATTTGTCAGTTGGGTAGCCTCTATACAGCTGAATTACTGATGGCGTAGCACAAGTTTTCTCATCCATGTTCTGCTATCTTACAAATGTTGACTTCTTGTTGCCTTTTAAAATAACTTTTTTAACCCTCTTTTTATATTTTATTTGATTTATTATTTTTTTTAAACTAATTATATCTATATATATTTATAAAGAAGGTTGTAACTAACCTGTGGTGAACTTAAAGTGGAAACTAAAGTTTAAATAAAATTGTTTTTCTTGTAATGTAATTCAGATATAGGTTATATGTGCAAGAAAGTGGTGCCAATTGTTGACAATTTTAATACAGGTTTTTTTTTCTTCCTTTAAATGTATCTCATTATAGTAGATACTGTCACCGTGCGGTATTTGTACATCATCAATGTGAATCTTTTGTTCTCGTTCTAACACTAAAACACAGCAACTTTTTCTTACAGATTGTATCTTTGTGTAATAAGTAATAATTTATGTTTAGTAAAGACATCCAGTATAAAGGTTTCTGCCCAGTTGTAATTATGACAACGATGGTGACGATGAAGATGACGAAAATTATTTTAGATTTGGAGACTATTTTAGAAGTGCCAGGTGGTGTGAAAATGAGTGATGACTTTATGCAGAGTATTTCCCAAATGCCAGGGGCTGTGAAAATTAGTGATGACTTTATGCAGACAATTTCCCAAGTGCCAGGTGCTGCGAAAATTAGTGATGACTTTATGCAGACAATTTCCTAAGTGCCAGGTGCTGTGAAAATTAGAGATGGCTTTATGCAGACAATTTCCCAAGTGCCAGGTGCTGTGAAAATTAGTGATGACTTTATGCAGACAATTTCCTAAGTGCCAGGTGCTGTGAAAATTAGTGATGACTTTATGCAGACAATTTCCCAAGTGCCAGGTGCTGTGAAAATTAGTGATGACTTTATGCAGACAATTTCCTAAGTGCCAGGTGCTGTGAAAATTAGTGATGACTTTATGCAGACAATTTCCTAAGTGCCAGGTGCTGTGAAAATTAGTGATGACTTTATGCAGACAATTTCCTAAGTGCCAGGTGCTGTGAAAATTAGAGATGGCTTTATGCAGACAATTTCCCAAGTGCCAGGTGCTGTGAAAATTAGTGATGACTTTATGCAGACAATTTCCTAAGTGCTAGGTGCTGTGAAAATTAGTGATGACTTTATGCAGAGTATTTCCCAAGTGCCAGGTGCTGTAAAAATTAGGTCAGACTAACGAAATCAGATTTGTTCCTTAGCTGCACGAGCCTAACCTTCCTGCCATCCAGTATGTCTGCTTTGTGTTTGTTTCTCTAATATTTCACCGCATTATCTATAAACGTTCTCCTTCAGTCAGTAATGCAGATACTTATGTCTCTACCTTTGTGACTGTTTTTTTGTTGTTGTTGTTGTTGTTGTTGTTGTTGTTGTTGTTGGCTGTAACATTTGACTGTTAAGTAAGTAAAGGACCCTTTTCCACAAAATCACAAGTGTTGGGCATATAGGGCTAGACTTATATTTGTATAAACCAATCAGCACTCTTTGGGAGATGTGGTTACTATCACACAGGTCACATTTACTTCCCAGAACTTTCCACTCAAGGTTGAGTCAACCTGGAAGTCAAAATCATTAAAAATGAAAAATGGCTTGTTAGGACGCAAACTCACAACTTTTGATTCGCAGGCAAGCATCTAGCCACTACACCATGGTGGCTCCCAGCATTTCAATGCTAGAACTAATTTCTCTGCTTTCTTTGGTAATGAAGATATTTATTTTCCCCCTTTTCTGTATGTTTCTTACTGCAACATTTCATAGTAATGACTCTCTGTTTTAGTCAGTAATAAGGATGCTTTTTTTCTATTTGCTTATACTAACCCTATTTCCTTTATAAGTGCCATATATTGTTTTTGTTACTTCATGCCCTCCCTCCCCACCTCCTCACCCACCCCATCCCTTTGTGTGTGTGTGTGTGTGTAGAAAAAACATTGATTATATAATTTCCTATTTCTATGTCTAATGTATACAAACTATTTACAAATTGTATTATTTTTAATGCTTTCTTTACATCTAAAAATTGTAGATTTCTATGCCAATAAAAAAATATTACTGCTTCAAAAAACATTTCTCTCATCTCATTGTTTATTTGTGTGTTTTCTTTAAAAGATATTTCAGTGTGCAAAGAGTCTGCAAGTGTTGTTTTTTTTTTCCAAAATTGCAGTATTTTAACAAGAGGACTCAATTTTGAGGTTCACATTTTGACAAGAGGACCTCATTTTTTACAGGAGGACCACATTTTGACAAGAGGACCACATTTTGACAAGAGGTTCACATTTTGACAAGAGGATCACATTTTGACAAGAGGACCACATTTTGACAAGAGGTTCACATTTTGACAAGAGGTTCACATTTTGACAAGAGGACCACATTTTGACAAGAGGTTCACATTTTGACAAGAGGACCACATTTTGACAAGAGGACCACATTTTGATAAGAAGATGACATATTATTACAAGAAGAGATAAATTTCTGATGCAATGGGATGACATTAGAAAAAATGGGGATATATACTTTAATAAGAACTTGGATAATAATTCTCGGTGGTACCAAACAGGAACCATAACTCATAAACTAACTAACAGACAAAAGAATGATAGACAGAAAAACAGAAATAAATATACCATAGAGTAACAGACCAAAGAATATTACAGACCAACCACAAATATGTGACATCTGTAATACCAAAATGAACACATAATTTTATGTCATAGTGTTACTTTTATTATTCATACATACTAAATGGAAACATTCAATGCCAAATCATAATTATGAACCTGGCAACACTTAATTCAAATACAACACTAACTATAAAAATCTTTATGATAGTCGTAATTTTGTGAGAAAATCTTCTTAGCTCACTCATTTTCTGGGGAAGAAAAAGAAGGAAAAACAAAATAAACAAGAAGAAGAAGAAAAAGAATGAAAAAAAATGTTGATCTGGCATGCCTGGGGGGCTGCTTTACAATGCATCAAGAGACCTGTGATTGGTGTCAAAAGTATAATAATCTAGAGAACTATTTGCCGGAGTGTCAGAAATACGAAATCCCAAAGAAAACCATGAACTGACTGTATGAATACTACATATGACGATGGAAAAGTTGTTGCGCAAGAGAGCCACAGAGACCAGAATGGCAAAGGTGCAAACTAAAATTCAGATATAGAAGGTTGAGGATTGGCCATGTCAGTAATGTCACCTTTAAAAGAATGTGTCATAAAGATAACATAAAGTGAGTTGCTTAACCTTTACAGGACTTTGCAGAACCAACCCCAGCATTTTGTGGCTGTTGTGATTTTCCTAGGCAAGTTAGCGTCCAGTAGTTTGCCATTGCTCTGGACGGTCGGCTTCTCGATACCACTGTTGAAACCAACGCAAGGCACAAGGCCCGCAGCTGGGATCGAACCCGGTGCCCCGGCATTACAAAGAAAGATAATATACACGAGAATAAATAACTTTCAAACTAAGGGCACAATCAATCTACTATTTTAATGACACAGTGTTAGTAAGATTTTCCGAATATTCATAATACGGTTTATGTTTTAATCACAACCCAAAAAGGTATAGACAAAGGCAATAACTGAAACAATAACATAAATTACATAATTGTCTATAGAAAATAATTACACAATCGATAAAAATCACAGATATATATACACTGAAAACTCGATGAACACTTTATATCCTAACTATAACACTGAGGGTTAAACAGGAAATGTTCGTGAAATCTACTACTGCTGCTGCTGCTGCTACTACTACTGCTACTACTGATGCTGCTACTGCTGCTAATATTACTGCTGCTGCTGCTACTGCTTCTACTGCTGCTGCTACTACTGCTGCTCTGTTGCTGCTATAACTTCTACTATGTGAGACTTGATACGGTAAAAAATAAGTATATTTACAACGAAAAAAAAAAAAAAAAATTAGAATGCTGAATTCAGAATCGACCTCAAAGCACCCGGGACACTCCCATTAGCGCTCCGTCACCATCTTCAGCAACAAGAGAAGAGTTCTAATTCCGATGGTACCGGTAACTGTCTCGCCTTTCCCTTGTTTGTTGAGCGTCTGCCAGATGCCCTGGTAACTTCTCTTTAAAAAAAAATTATATTCTCACCCGTTGGCATTGTTTATAAATGTGTACACCTCCGCTTCATGCTTCATGACTAATTGTTTGTTTGTGTGTCGCGACTCATTGATTACCTCTCTAGTGATGTCTCTATGAGCCTTGATAGGACACTGGCTAGTTGGCTCGCCTTCCCATACTAAGGAGGGCCAGACATAAAATCAGACTTACTGGTACCATCGGAATTGGAACTCTGTATTTGCTGCTAAAGATGACGACAGAGCGCTCATGTGAATGTCCCGAGTAGTATATGTCTGTTCTTAACTCATAACCCCTTCTGTGATGATGGGTTCACATTTTCTATACGCCTAAATCCTTTCTGATACCTTTTGGCCTAGGGACCGATTTAACCCCATTTCACGGGGGAACCAGGCTGAAGCGGCTCAGAAAAAGTTTACCTTAGATGTTTTCAACATTATCATATTGTTTCTGGAAAATGATAAATGTACAAAACACTGTTTTACTAATGTATACATTGTTGTCTTTTGTTCAGTGACGCTCACAGTGGTTAAGCAAACTTGCCCGCTATTTTAATTTTTTATGAGAGGTCAGTGAGAAACAAATGGCGCCCCGAAATCTTAGAATGATGCATCTATCCTGTCTGTGGAGGCGCTGCTGCTTGTGTGGTCGCCCCTAGATGTCCTCGGACTTGGGCTGGCTGGGGAACAGCGCGAAACTTGGGCTTGTGTGGTCATATCGGGTGTCCTGTACAGGCCACGTCATACTAGTTTTGTGTTTGAAACTGGAGTGTTAGGGAAACTGTAGCTACTCTTTGTCAGGTGTGTCCAGTTTCAGAGTGTTTGTGGTGAATATTGTTGCCACTTTGGATGTTTTACATTCAGATTTAGATGTTTTCCCTTGCATTTAGATGGCGTTTTTGGCGTTTAGATGGTAGATGATTTTCTAGATATTTTACCATTTGGAGTGAATCTATCAAATCTAACCTAAAAAACAGTATGAAATTTGACATCCTAAATGTTATCTTGACAATAAAAATTGGCCTGATAAGAGTAGGAAAAGGCTGTTCCACTTATCAGCTCCCTGATTGGGTATTAAAGAAATTTGGAACAGCTAAAGCATCCCAGAGTCATTTTGGATCTGAAGTTTCAACTTCATCATCCAAGCTTAGTTTATCCTGTGATCTTGTGAGGCAGACCTAAGTAAAGATGAGGACATAATTCTTTAGGGTAAGTCATATCAATTGCTTTGTAATTTGTGACTCTTTCCATTTGGATGTTTTTTCTAGATGTTTTCCACGCAAATTTAGATCATTTTAGATATTTTTTCGACTCCGTTTTGGATGTTTTTTGTCAAAGAAAAGTGGCAACACTGGTGGTCAACCTTCTTTCTTCACCACTGGTGTTGCACCGAAGTCACATCACCGAGGAAGAAGTGTGTTAGTGAATCTAAAATATCGTTCTGAGCTTGATTTGGCAGAAATGCAGATGCTGGATGTTGTTGTTGAAAGTCGTCTCTGTTGTTTTGTAGGTCGATCAAATTGACAGGAGTTGCAGACGTCCATCTAGAAAACCCTGATAAATCGTCTCTCTGACGTTGCTGACTCGCAATTGAAGAGTAGTTTATATCCGAGCTGTTGCTCGAGATGAAGGAAGCAGCTACGGGTGTGATGTCTGAAGATCGGCGACGCTTCACAGTTTGTACTTGAAGAATGATGGAGTTTATATCATTTATGGCAGAAAATAGGCTGTCTGTGTGTTTCACTTTAGGAGACTTTTCTGAAAGACTCGTCTTGCATCTGTCAGTGGTCTCGTCACAATGGCAGGCAACACATTGTCCATCACTTAAAGGCGATCTTGAAGTTCTAACGTTGTCACAGACACAAAGACGATCAGTTGTGTCATTGTCTTCTTGGAAGCTGCGCATCCCCCGCATCTTTAAGAGAGCCTTTTTCTTGGTTGTAGCACCCTTTGTGTTGATGATGGTGGTAGGGGAAGAGTTTGCTAAGAATGGTCGGGCCGGCAGCTCTGGTGGCGTCTCCGGCTCGTGTTTCTGGTTAAGCCTTCGTACAGAAGCCCCCAACTCGCTGAGCTCTTCATACACGTTCTCAAATTTATTCATCTTCCAGTAGGCCTGCAGATCTGGTGTGCTGCTTGATCGTCGTCTGGCCAGGACACAAGAACACTGCCCGACTGCACAGACGATATCAGAACAAGGTTGTTCATCTTCTCTACGGAGATCTTCATTGGCTTCTGACAGAGCCATTGAGGAAAATGCTGAATCAAAGTCAGATTTGTCATCGCCCTTATTCGGTGGTGATGGCAAGCCTACAGACTTCTTGATGTTGTTGGCTTTCAGCAATGCTACCACAGCGGACACAGATCGAAGGCGGTCAAAGTCCACGTCTGCAGGCTCGCAACTGATAGTGTTTCTCCTGGAGACTGACTTCAACTCGTCTGTGATATCTTTGATTTCACTATAATCACTGTTGCCCATGTATTGATTCTCAGGATGAGACAAGCTACGTCTACGACCACAGATTGTCACTTTCTCACAGGATGTGGCGTCAGCTGATGCAAGATCTCGGTCTAAATGACAAATATGAGGTTCACCCTCCTCTTCCGTTTCCAAGAATGAGCTAAAATCTGCGCTGAAGTGGCCGGTAGTCAACGATGAGCTCGGTGAGTGCGCATATCTGCCCGGGGAGTCAAAGCTGCACATGGAGCTACCGGAATCGGATCTACCCATGGGGATTGGCTGGGGAGCAGATCGAGTGTTGTGTTGAGCAGTTGTTTGGGGATTGTGGTGGACAACTGACTGACTTTCATACAGTCTTTGGAAACTTTTCTCACTATTAGTGACAGACGGACTCCTGTGTCTAGCAGAGGAGGACATTCGAACGTTTTGCTTCAGTGTCAACGCCAAGCAGATGGACTGTCGAATAGCGCCCAGGATGTCTTCTGCTTGATCCGACAGCAGATTAAAGAAACTGTGCCCAGTTGGGGATTTTCTGTGTGGAGGACACAAAGGATAATGGATGAACGACCTCTTATAAATATGTGTTAAATGTTTAATTAAGCAGACATAAGAGACTGCACAATTTATTGCAAGAAATCGTAATTGATGCACAGCGCACCTTTGTGACTTTTTTCTTGGATAAGGCATTACAATTTGTCTTTCTGTCTGTCTGTCTCTCGCCCCCCCCCCCGCCCTCTCTTTCTCTCCGTATATCTCTGTATGTGTGTTTCAAAGTAAAAGGATATGTACCTGTCTTATTTTAACAAAAAGGTTAGATAACGAAACATACACACACACACACACACATACACACACAAACACACATACACACACACACACACACATACACTCATATATACACACACATATATATATATATATATATATATATATATATATATATATATATATATAGATATATATATATATATATATATATATATATATATATATATATATATATAGGTATATATATATACACATATACTGAGAGAGGGAGAGAGAGAGAGAGAGAGAGAGAGAGAGAGAGAGAGAGAGAGAGAGAGAGAGGGTGAAAGAAGTGAAGATAACGTGCAATGGAGAGTTTTAAAAGGGGGAAAAACTAGGCGTTGTTTGTCAGTGAGATAATTCAGTAGATATATAATGTAACCAACGTTACACCAGCTGCCTACACATCACAGCCCGTTTCCTACAAACATTTCAGGATGAGTCGAATTAGTACCCTCAGTCGATTGTAAACATCTGCCTCTGTTAGAACTCAACCCTTATGCCATATTTAAATCCTGTCTATATTTAGGACCCCCGGTAAAAGCCATGGTTGCGCTTTAAAATGAATAAAAATTGCATCCCACACGGAAACGACAAATACAACACTATACACAAACGCGTCTTTTGCCATCAGCCTGCAGGTTACACCCAGCCGTTATGTAGTCGTTATGGCTGACCTAACTAGAATTTCTTGGTAGGTGAATCCAGGCATTTGGGATCTACCTTGTTGATCTGCCTTCCACACAGATGTTTTAACCTCAGGATGGTATGGTAAACCTTCCGGTAGCAGACAGAGGGTCAAACGGATGGATCGGATTCAATCCCCAAGCAAACCCGAGAAGACAGGCAAGGTTCTAGTCACTGCGCCACCTCGACTCTCGCTTCAGTCAGTTAAAAGTAAAAAGGGCCCCTTTCTACACTTGTAGGCGCACTGAGCCTGGTCAACATCACCCAGGCTGCGCTGCATCCCGGGCTTTACTTGGTACCCATTGAAGGCTGGGTCGACCTGGGAGCCAATGTAAATTGTTTTTTTTTCCAGTCCGCCCCGTTGGGACCTGAATCCACGAGCTTTTGATCCACAGTCGAGCGCTTTTCTACGCCACGGTGGCTTCATTACAGCCAGTTACTTCACAGACAAAGATACTTACGGTCCACATTCGATAACCAGAGATGACCTATGTCCAGAAACAGTTCCCGGCTCCACGTTAAATCTGACCAGAGAGTTGAGGGCCCAGCTGACCACACAAGTGCCCTCAGAGTTCTCCAGGCTGAGACCCGCCTCCGAGACGGTCAAGGTGTGGTGTCCGGCTAGGTGCCACTTTCTGGAATCTTCGTTTTCAGCAACGGTCACGTTATAGCAATCTGTAACAGAGGCAAGGTCATACAAACGTATACAACTAGGCAGCCATTTTGGGATCACAGGGCGAGCGTAGATACCACAAACATTAAAGGAAGTTCTTCTTTTTTTCCTAAAGTTCACCCGCTGTAAACTCTGGAGGACAGTTCTGGCTGTACGTCCACATCAGGAATTCAGATTTGTTCCAGAACTTGAGTTTTCCGTGTACATCTGTTTTACAGATCTGGCTTACTTGTATGCAGACTGCTGGTTATTTGCCTCACAAGCAGAAGCACTCCGACTTTGAAGGAAAATCTCTGACTGGTCTATTCTATGACCTGCTTGTCAGGGGGCAGTGGTTCAATTACACCCCCACACCCCCTTCTCCCCAGTGGGGGTTTCTCCCCGGATCCACACGGGGGCTGAAGGGAGTTCTAGGCAGGTATATCAGCAAACAGACCGGACTCGCATTACTGAGTTACAGTTTAGGCAGTTACCTGCGAATGTTCTAATACCCCCCCCCCCCCCACTCTCTCTTTCTTTTTTTCTCCCACTCTCTCTTTCTGTGTGTGTGAGTGTGTGTATAAAACGCCCTCTCTCTTTTCTCTCTATTTCTACCTCTCTCTCTCTCTCTCTCTCTCTCTCTCTCTCGGTCTCTCTCGTTATCTGTTTCTCTCACTCTTCTCTTTTTCTCCCTCTCTGTTTATCGCTGCCGCTCTCATTTTTCTCTAGCACGAACACGCACATACAAACACACACACACACACACACACACACACACACACCACATTGAAAAATGACAATTGTCTATGAAGAAATCTGCTAAATGTCTTCTCTAGGGTTGCAATCATCAGTGAGATGCACAAAATAATATATTTAAACAAATATAAAGGTTAGACCAGTGCTACTCAAATATTTAATTCGCGGAGCCCGTGGGGAAAAAAAACAGCATATTATTTAGCAGGACCTCTTAGGCATGCCGTATTGGGATATTTAGTTCCAGAAGGGACACCTGACCAAGTTGATGGCAGGCGCGCTCACTTTCATTGTCGTCAATTAATTTTGGAGCTAGTGGCAGACGATATGATTTTCTGTTTCCTAATCTTTAATTGCATTTCATTTTTATTTACTTTCCTGGAAAGACCGTGGAGCCCTTGAACAGTGAACATCAACTTATCTACACTCGTGTCTATATCAAATGATGTCAGTTCTATCCAGAGAACGACTGGCTGTCTGTGAGAGCGTCACATAAGTCCGTAGCTTCAACGACAATCCTACGGTAAATCGACATGAAACGATCTAAAAATCCTCAGAGTTGAGTTAAGCCAAGAATTGATATCGCAGCACTCGGGGCATTCTTACGCGTGCTCCGTCCTTATCTCAGCAGCCAGCGCAGAGTTTCAGTAATGATGGTACCGGTGAAAATCTAGTTATAGGTTCGTTTTGCCTTTTCTCTGAGTGTAGTGAGCCGGCCAGACCCTGTAGTTACACCCAGGTGCCTTATTCTCTCCAGACCATAATAATCTTGTTTCTCTACTGATTCCGTTGCTTGTTACCAAAGGGCCTTGATCACATCTGCCTTGTCGTGTATCAATTCACCACCCAGTCGTGCAGATCTAGCCAGTCTGTCTGTTCTTTACCCACCACGCCGTCATAGCCTAGAGAAAAGATCCAAAGTATGCTCACTACCGGTGACCTTCCCAGTGAAGCTTGCCACTCTGCTCCAAGCATCCCTGTAGATCCTCAGAGCGCAAGGTAATCAGCGTAGCCACGGCGGTTGAGTATGTAAAACATGATGGCGATAAAATATGGGGGAATGGAACCAATGCTAACAGAGACCAGAGGCTCAGTGTTACTAAGACAATGCAAATGAGCAAAACACTGAGTACATTACTTTCAAAGAAGCTAAACCTGGAAGCCAGATTTTCTTATCATGCTCGGGTCAAAGGTAAAAAAAAAATACCAGATCATATTTATTATATACTGGGTGGGATTCACAGATCTGAGTAGGAGCTACTTTTGACATTGTTTCAACGTTTGTATAAATAAATCCGCCACGAAAACAATATTTGTATAAGCACAAAGCAATGACGCCTCGCAGGTTGTTTCGGACTGAAAACGTTGAGCTAGGAGAATTTTAATATTAGAGTGGGTTTTTTTTTTACGAAGTCCGGCCCAGACACTGCATAATTAGGCTTTTATTCATGCTTTCTAACCTGTGACACGGGCTAGTCTATGTGGCAGACGTGTCACGTCGTCTTGTCTCCGACGCTGTCAGCGGCGATGTCGCGTGCTCTATACTACACGATGACACCACTTTTAACAAACCAAAACATATATAACTGACACTAACCCCGCCAATTAACCTCACAGCCTCAGCCTAGGTCCCTCGAGAGAGTCCAGAGTTCATCCCATGGTTTCATAATTTTTAATATTTTCCGTCTTGCTGAAGAAAGGCAACGCTCCCCTTCTTGTCGTTCGTCACTGCTCACAGCTGACCTAAATTCATATCGTACCTGAACTTTGTAATATACTAAATGTTGCCGCCTGCTCACAACAACGAGTAAAACACACTGTGTAGCTCGCCGCATATATACGCACAATATACACACCTCTTAGTGAATGCAAGACAACGTGACACCTCTCTAGCATAGACTTGCTCGTGTCATATCTAAGAAAGCATGAATGAAAGCCCAATCACGCTTTATTTGGACCGGACTTCGTAAAAAGTTCCTAAAAGTCAAGAACTGGAGGCAGAAACATCGTAGGTCGGGTTGTTACTGTAATGGTAACTACAAGTAAATAACTGTATGGCGAGTTTCAGCTGACACTGACCTTTCTTAACCTCGATTTTGTCCGGGGTGAAGATCTGCTGTAATGAAACGGCCCAGCTGTAGGAGTCCAGCTCTGTGGTTCCACTGATAACCAACACAGGATGCTCCTCGATCACCTCGAAGGCGTACTTGTGTGTTTTGGATTTGACCGGCCGGATGCAAGTCACGTTCTCCAAAACGAAGGTCGCCTTGTCTGAGGAGTTACCGCGCCATTTGGCCTCGTTATCGTAGAGGTCAAGTTTGGCCACGTATTCCTCATTTGATAGGTTGCTCATTTTTGTCAGGACAGCCCAGCGGTGCTTCCAGGTCTGTGGGACAGATTTCAGACCACAAACTGATTAGATTTGAGAGATATACGTCAGAGCAGGAATAGATCAAGCATATGTCTGGTCTGTTAGAGATACATTAAAGCAGGAATAAAGTAGGTTTGTGGTTGAGATTTCAAAGCAGTAATGGACTTTCTGTGAGAAAGAGTTCCAAGCAGGAACAGACTAGGTCTGTGGGAGAGCATTTAGAGAAGGAATAGACTAGATCTATGGGAGAGAATTCAGAGCAAGTATAGACTAGGTTTGTGGGAAAGAATTTAGAGAAGGAATAGACTAGGTCTGTGAAAGAGAATTTAGAGAAGGAATAGACTAGGTCTGTGGGAGAGAATTCAGAGCAGGAATAGACTAGGTCTGTGGGAGATAATTTAGAGAAGGAATAGACTAGATCTGTGAGAGAGAATTTAGAGCAGGAATAGACTTTCGCTGGGAGAGCATACATAGCAGGCATAGACCAAGTCTGTGGGAATATTTCAGAGCAGGAATAGACTTTATTTTTAGAGAATTCAGAGCAGAAATAGACCAGGTCTGTGGAAGTGAATTCAGAGAATGAAAATATCAGGTCTGTGTGAGAGAATACAGAGCAGAAATAGACCAGGTCTGTGGAAGAATGCAGAGCAGAAATACACTAGGTCTGTGGGGGAGAATACAGAGTTGAAATAGACTAGGTCTGTGGAAGTGAATTCAGAGCAGGAATAGACCAGGTCTATGGGAGAGAATACAGAGCAGGAATAGACCAGGTCTATGGGAGAGAATACAGAGCAGGAATAGACCAGGTAGAAAAAGATCAGGACTGGAAGTTCATTCAGAAATAGACTGATTCCGAGGGAGAGAATTCGTAACAGACATGGACCTGGTATGTGAGAGGAATTTCTGAGTAGGAGCTATTTTTGACATTGTCTCCATGCTTGTAGAAGTATGCCACAACAAAATGTTTGTAAAATTACACCACAACAGTCAGTATCTTATATGTCAGGCTGGTGTGTTTCATGGATCACTGAGACAACAATTTCCATTCAGCCTGAAACTCGCGAAGTCCCAACGTTACCTGGCCACAAATTCTGTCGAAAAAGAAGACAAAAGAAATGCTTTGTTGAGATCTTTTACAAGTATTGCAGAAAATTATGATACGCATGAAACAAGGCATCAGCAGCTTTTAAAAGCCTGAACTCTAAATTGTAAAGTCTTTAAACCAAGTTGCATATTTTCAGTTCTAGTGTTATGTCCGTGTTAACATATGCCAGTAAAAGTAGGAGAACCAATAAAGATATGAAAGCCGCGTTAGCGCAGTCGATAGGAGGCTGCGACTCGCTGCAGCCACGGTCGGTTCCCGGGGTTCACCCAGCCTTTAGGAAATTGGTACCAGAGTTGACAGTCTGGTGTAAATGGAAGAACGTAGCTGTAGCTACGGAGTTACGTGCGGACGGTGACACAGGCGGACAGTTTCTTATTAGCTGTCCGTAATGGTGGCAGAGCACTAATGGTTTATAATTGTGTGCAGTGACGCTGGTTCACATCTCCCGATTTTACCTTTTACCTTTTTTTGGACCCCCCCCCCCACCCCCCCCCCCCTTTCCACCCAAAAAAAAAAAAATAAAAAAAAAATTCATAAAATAGAATGAATTCAAGAGGCTTTCGAATGTTGTATATTGATTTCTCTATGCACTCTTCCATCTGAGGTTAAAAATGACACTAGATGCTTCAGTAACAACGGTATACACATATTTCAACAAGTTAAAAACTATCGATCCAGCAAAGCCAGACAGAACTCACAGTAGAGATGTAACGTTAACAGCTAGATTGACAGCAACTCAGACAGAACCGAGTCTGAACTGACACCTGGCAGTCCTAAATATGCCCACAAAGAATTACTCGACTGATATCATCAGTACATGCAGGACTTTGTCTAAACTGACATCTGGTAACCGTTACCCTAAATATGTCCGCACATAAATTGACAGCAACTCAGACAGAACCCAGTCTGAACTGGCATCTGGCAATCGTTACCCTAAATATGTCCACACAGAATCAATACACCAACACCAACAAAGGTAGAACTGTGTCTGAACTGTTACTTGGCAATCGTTGTCCTAAATATGTCCAAACGGTATCACTTGACTAACATCAACAAAGGCAAGGCTCGTGTTGAATGAACACCTGACAGTCGTTGTCCTAAATATGTCCAGGTAAACTGATTGTTGGAAGTAGACATATAATAGATTTTACCTATCAAAATGTGCATACATTACTCTCATCCCTATAGATTAGATAACGACCTACTGGCCTCATTATCAAAGTTCTCGTCTCTTAAAAGATCCAATATGTCAAGAAGAGTTTTATTGATGTTGCCGTATGAACTTCGTTCCTTGATAACGCAACGCTGTGGCTATAGCCAACCGCTGACATCTGACAATATTCAAACATTCAACTTTCCTGTCCTGGCAACGTTCAATTTGAACCCATTGTAAGACACTGCCCTAGTTGTTAATTTTTCCAGGGCCGCCTGGCAAAACTAACAGGGTTTAACAAGTGCCAGGCAAAAGTCGGATGTGCTGACCAAAAACTCAAATATCGCCTGTGTTCATGATTGATTATCACCAGCTCGGTTAGTCTTCCACAAGTCATCGTCATCATCATTGTCATCAACATCACCATCATCAATTTTCACTTCAGCCCCGTTACCGCTGCGATTTATTGCTTGATGGGCAACAATTGCCATTGTCACTCGATGTAGTGTCGACGTAGAAGCTTTTTCATCTCATCAATCCATATCTCACAGGGCGACCTCCTACTTTCCCATCAGATCTGTTCACCAGTAGTGCCTGAGTTGGTAGTTGCTCTGGCTGCTTACTTAATTATTGACCAAACCATTTGATCTTCTGTTTCTCAATGAATTTGCGGCTTGTTGTTGTTCCTGCAGTCTTATTAAATCATTTCTAACTTGGTCACGGGTGGTTAAGTTGGTGGCTATTCTCAGGCTTTAATTTTACGTAGGTTAACCTTTGACAAGCATGGATGGAACTTTTACATTTAACAGCGCTAGTTTGAAAGACCGATTGAGATACATTTATGGGACCTAAATCAACAACTAGAATAAGAATAATATCCTTGACGATTCAACTCTGCAGCTTCTCCATTTCAACGTTAGCAATTAACCTACCTGTAGATTTAAACACACACTGTCGAGTTGTTAAACACGTACTCTGTCAACCGTCCTACCTGTCAGAACTGTCAATTACTGCCTTTATCATATCATTTTTGTGGTGGGGTTCTTTAAGCCTGAGGATTTGGGGCTGTATGGCTAGTGCTGTCGCCATGGACTGTGCAAGTAAGAATTTTATTTTGCCTCCGACAGAAAAAAATCCCTACACTTACCAAGGATTCGAACCCGGTTCTCCCACATGAGAGCCTAGAGTTCTAACCGTTCTGCCAGTCGCTCCTCACCGTCCCATCTCAAACACTATAACCCAACAGATGAAGCCGGATGTGAGATCAATAAATGATTTGTACCTTTGATTATCATAACTGATTTATAAGTCATTGCGATAACTTCATAATGTTAATGAGGACAGTTGATAACAGTGTCTTGATAAACTGATATATGATAGGTATGTAAGTAAAGAGGACCTTTCCGACCCACAAGCAGTGTGTGATGTATGCAAGTCAACTCCTGCTGGGTACGTTGAGCATTGGGGTTAGTTTGATGTTGTTATGTTGTCAATGTCGACGTCTTTGCACATTGGTCATCCCAATAGGTGCTCAGTCCTCCGATGCAGCAGCCTCTTTTAGGTACCTCTACTGGTTGTTCGCACGAGGAGTTGGTTATATTAACTCCTGTTTTTACCTCGAAAATGGCATAGACGTGCTTTACAAAGCTAAACTTCTCGGTCATGCAGTCGTATTAGCGTCAGATTCGACATTAGCCCCAACCTAGTCCGTACAGCGTTTATATCAGCTCTGTCCATGCTTCTCTTCCGTTTGCATTGGTGCATTACTTGCCAGCTGGTCAGCTCTGTAATTACCTGCGTACACAGGCATGTAGATCCAGATGATGGAGGTTAACTGCGACTTCTGAATGCTTTCTATCCTTTTGAGGGTAGATTGCCTGTTGCGATTTTCTGAAGCATGTTTATGGAGTCTGATACGATTACCACATGTGTGGCTGCCTGTTCTGCAACTCATGGGAGTGTTCTGGAAGCAGCAGTTTTTTCCATGGTAGATAATGAAATGACTGCCTCTTCTGGAAACAAAGCTGGAAAAGGTCAGACCCATGTGCTGCTATGTCGATACGGATATCAAGTAACAAGTAAACAGGGAAAGTTCTGCCTTTGTCATATTTAGATAGAGCTGAGCTTGTCAGGCACTGCGGGGTGTGTTCGAGTTTGTTCTCCTTTAACATAATTACAACGGTCAGATCTATTGTCTGTACCCAGGGAGTGACCATTTGGGAGTGACCACCACACTCGCTAGCCTACTGCCTAGAAATCATATTCTCTAATCCCAGTCCATGAGGATTTTCACATGTTACCCTGTCTTCCATGTTGGTTCAGCCTTACACGAGCACCAGGAAATGTCCAGGGAAGTAAAGTCGTTTGATGTCTTTATCACCATCTACAGTCGATTACCACATTCCCCTGCAATGCCTACCAACTATCTTAGTCCCAGGATATGTGTTTCTTTAAGTTCTCTTTCTACAACATTGCTGCTTAAAATAATAACTGTTTCGATTCGAAGGGATTCAGTTGGTAACAATGCCCTTTGTAGGTTCCAGGGTCCCATTGATTAAAAAAAAGGGGGGGGGGGAGAAAGACTAGACACACCGGGCCCCTAACGAGGTCGTTAATGGCGATTTATTAGTGATGCTTCCTTCCCAGGCATATGCCTGAAAAGTGAGGAACCAACAGTTTGCATACAGGTAAGCCAGACCTTTGAAACGGATGTGCATTCAAAACAATTTCTGGAAAAAAGATTAACGTCCAGACATGTACGAACAACCAAGAATTTTCGCCGGAGTTTACAGCCAGTGAAAGTCAAGAAGAAGGAGAAGAAATGATAACACTGCGGGTTAAAAGAATCTACATAAATAACTTGGATAGAATGGGTTAATATTACGGCTGGGTAGAGCATAAACTATTTATATCCTAAATTGATATACGGATGTGAATCGTAGGCTGTTTGTAAATAAATGAAAACTTATTTGGAAGCTGCGGATTAGTGCTTTTATAGACGAATGATGAGCCATGACCTTCGGTAGGACTTTCGAAGGCGTCGGATGAGAATACAATGGACAGATAAAAAGAGTAATGAAGACGTCTTGAAAGAAACTGACCCACGAAAAGAACAGATTGCACACGTCATTAAGAGACAATCTACGTTCTTTGGTCATGTGATGAGAAGGAGAAAACTGGAGTAGATCGTGACAGTAGGAAAGTTGGAGGGGAGGAGAGGCAGTGGAGACAGAGAGAAAAGGCGCGGGATAGCATAGACTTTAAAAAGAATAAGATTATAAGCAGCTTCGGAGGCGGAAAACCTATGATGACAGGGAACCTCATTAGATGCATTGGCACTATAAAAGTTCAGGCGTAGAAACCGGTATTTAATTATTATCTCCACGGGAAGCCAGTTAGTCTGGGTGAATTTGTGGCTAGTACGTTTGCCTATCGAAGGTGGCCATTCAGGTTCGAATCCATACGAGGCGGATGTTTACCGTGGACATGATTTCATAGATGAATTCAATTTAAAAGCGTATCAGAAATGTTTTTAGGAAATAAAGGCAGGCTACCAGCGAAGTCTTAACTATATTACACAATGAATGCAGATTTGTTTGAAAGTTAAGTACGGGACTTGCACTATATTACTTGTTACTCGTTGACAGTATCGACATTCCAGGACATAGGTGGTAACAG